GCGGCCCGATCATTATTTCCCTGCCCCAGGGGAAGCTCAGCTCACTGGGTGAGTTCCTGCGGGAGGGTGGGTCCTAGGCAGAGGACAGATGAAAGGTAAGGACAAAAGGAGACCAGGCCCCGAGGCCATAGGAGGGGGCGGGGTGTCCGCCAGAGCTGCAGATCCAGGCAACCCTGAGTCCCGAACAGGTAGCTGGGAGTGCGAGGCCTCGTGGGCCAGAACCTCCCAGCAGAGCCCAGCCAGGGCCCCGCGCCCTTGGTGCAGCTCCTTCCTTCCTAGCGGGCCACACCCTGCGAGGGGAGCTTGAGGAGGGATAGCGGCCGAAGGCAGGCTGGGGCATGGCTGGGCTCTGAGCGCTCTCTGTCTCTCAGCCCTCTTCATCGCCTCCTTCGAAAGCGAGGGTCCCGAGAACCACATGGAGAAGGACAGCTGGAAGACCCTGAGGTAGGGGCGCTAAGGGGCTGTCCTGTGAGCCCCAGGGCCAGCCCCACGCAAGGGGAGAGGCTGGGGATGGGCATCACAGATCCACCTTTCTGAAGGGCAGCGGGGGGCACCTCCACGCAGCTGGGGAAAGGGAGGCGTCCCCAGGGCAGGGGGCTGAGGACCTGGGGTCTGAATGTCCCCTCCTCCTCCCCTCAATGGCCGGCTCCTGGGGTCCAGGCCCCCCTGATCCTCAGGCCTGCCCTCTGCTTGCTCAGGGGAAGGGCCTGCCAGCACCTGACCATTGTGCCCATCCCACCTTTAGGACCACTCTCCTTAACAGAGCCTGAAGGCGTGGACGCGGCCCGAAGGTGTGGATTCCACCTGAAGGCGTGGATGCGGCCTGAAGGCGTGGATTCCACCTAAAGGCGTGGATTCCACCTGAAGGCGTGGATGCGGCCTGAAGGCGTGGATGCGGCCTGAAGGCGTGGATGCGGCCTGAAGACATGGACTCGGCCCCAAGGCGTGGACTCGGCCCCAAGGCGTGGATGCGGCCCGTGGACAGGGCCATGGGATGAAGCACACGCGTGAACCAAGCTTTAACCTTGATGTGGGTGGAGATGAGGTGGCCTCACTGGTTGGGGTCCTTTTTGTATATAACTTTTATGGAAAAAAAAGGTAATTATTTCATGCATCAAAGCTTTTTGTTTATTTTAAATGACAGGGCAGCGCCCTGGTTCAGGGAGGGGTGGGAAAGAGTGTCATGGGAGATGGCGTCCATGATAGTATCTCGGTCTAATGAAACGTAGATTTTTATTTTCTACTTTTGATTATATTCACACCTTATGAAAAAATATTTAAAAGTAACACACCCAACCAAAACCAATGTGAGCCCTGCCTGCTTGGACCCTTCCAGCCATTGTCTCTGATGTCAGGGCTGGTGCCTTAGAGGGTCCTGGAGGGCTGTCCCCGCTCTGCTCCGGCCGCTGTGGACTGCAGGCGCCTGCCCGCAAAGCCACCCCAGCTGCAGGTTCCAACAGGCCTTGGGAGGCCAGGAGGTCTGTCTGCACTCTCCTGGAAGCAAGCCTTCGAGCGTGGGATTTCCAAAGTTTACATTTCCTTTCCTTTATCAGGGATGTCTGGGGTCGGGAGGGGCAGGGGGACACCTGGCAGCATATTTTTCTGTTGGAACATGTCTGGCAAATCTTTCTTCAACTACATTGTAGGAAAAATAGAAAGTCTAAAATAACGAAAGGTGGGGGAGTTGTGGAATTGTCAGTTTTCCAGATGTAACTGGAAGACACACTTAGCTGTAATGAGGAGCATACTAAACAGACTTGAGGATGGGGACATTTAAGCCATTTTTGAAACCCAACCACAAAGTGGAAAGAAGCAACTCATAAACCCGTATTCCAGTGGACAGCCTCCGCCTGCCCTCTAGGTGGGGGCTCCCCTAGTGGGATTCGAAACACGGAAAATTAGCCCAGTAACTGCTGGAGCCCTCGCACATACAGCTGCCCAACATCTGGAGGTAGTTCCCACGCCCAGACGCAAGGAGCACACTCCAGTTCTGACTTCCTGGCTGTGGGATGGTGACCTCGCTGCTCCCTCGAGTGGGCGGTGGGCCCTCCACGCGGACTCGATCTTCCTCGCGGTCGGGTTTGTTTGTGAGTAGTCGGGAGCTCCGCACCCTTGTCCCTCTACATGCCCGGCTTCTGCAGGAGCCTCAGCCCAGAGGCCTGTTGGCTGCTAATTCCCAGCTCCCAGGAGAGCCTGGAGATGTGCAGGCGAGGCCCCAGGAAGGAGGTGGCTCTGTGGTCACTGCTGATGTCACCTTTAACCTGGGTGGAGCAAGACTATTTACACTGTATTGTCACAGTGATTTTGCACTTTTCAGACGTTCTAGATAGTACATATTGTATATTGATAGTACATATTGCTTTGTTTATGTATTTGAGATAAAGGCTTAAACTTGAGAGTATATATTTGGAATACAACGTTGGAACATTTTCTGTACGTGTGTGAAGCTCTCATGTAGCACTTCACGGGTCCTCAGTTTGCGTGCCCTCTGGGCGCACTGTCCCTTTTCCATTTCACTTTCCCCGTTGGGTACATCTAACTATGATGTTCTGGTGTTTTGAGATGAACTGTGAGCATAAAGCTGTACTGTAACACAGCATGTCAGCTGTTGGTGTGACTGGACATACTTGCATCAATAAAAGAACACGTCTCTCCCCTCGTGTGCCTGTTCTCTGTGCAGCGGGCGAGCCGGGCAGCTCTGCTGTGGGCAGACACAGGCCTGAGGGCCCTCGGCGGCCTTTCAGACAGGAGCCAGCAGCTCTCATCTGCACAACACATTCTGACAAAGGGCTTTTCACATAAACAGTGCGGGCGGAACAGAAGTCATACAGGTGGCGTGTTCCTGTTCTGCTTTCCTCAAAGAAAGACCCAAAGGATGCCAGCAGCTGCTTGTATTACATGGCCATGGAAGTCTAGGAGACCTAACTCAACACGATTGCAAAGGCTCCCCTACTGCAGGGCTCATCAGAGCCTTCAGTGTCCGTGGCCACTGTGGTCTCTTCTGGGCCGGGGAAGCTGGGGGCACCTGCTGGCATCTCTCTAAAGAACAGTTTGCACAATGCGGCCCTAGAAGGGCCTCTTTCTGTTGCAATGAGTCGCATCAAGAGCACTTAAGGAAAGGGATTTGCTAAGGGGCACATGAGAGCTGTGGAGATGAAGAGAGACTAGAATGGAAGCCGGACTCCCACCTGCTTCTCCCCGTCCCGTCCCACCGCCACCCTGCTTACGGTGCCCAGGCCCTGTGAGGGTCACTGGTCATACCTCACCAAACCTGCTCCTTAGAGCTAACTCGGCCCCTTTTAGATGAGTTCAGCGTCTGTCGCGCCCACTAACTACGCTGCCCCGCAGCCCCCTCTGCAGTGAGGGGTGCTCTGTGTCTGCACTGCGCAGCCCAGTAGCTGTCAGTTACACACAGGTACTGAGCACTGAGATGCAGCCAGCTGCCTGAGGGTGTAAGTTTAAATAGCTAGTGGTCACTGTATGGACAGAGGCTGCCTCTTTCCCGAAGTGCCTCCTGGAGGGGACAGCACATAGTAGGTACTCAGGTGTTCGTGGAGCAACCAAGGACACCTGTGAGGAAGAGTTCTGAGTAAACAGTATCACTCTTTAGGTCTGTAAATTCAGTGGCACCCTTGATTTCTTGACAAAGTTAATTTTGGAAGTTTCCACCTATCTCATCTGATAAGGGGCGGCACATTTTTGGTCTGTGTCTTGAACATGGAGCTTGAGCTGGGAGTGAACTTTGAGCTCGCTGGGCTGGCTGGCGCTCTGCCATCACCCACAGGGCAGTCCCTCCAGGGCAGCGCTTCTCAGGTGTGGCTCCTGGACCCACAGCAGCAGCTTGGGAACTTGTCTGGAATTTGTGCTCAGGGCCCCACTGCACACCTGCTGAGTGGGAAACGGAGAGCCAGGCAAGAGTGAGAGCCTCCGGAGGGGAGGTTCTGCAGGAATTGGCTCCTGCTCACCTCACAGCCCCCTCCCAGGAACCCTCTCTCAGCCAGCCAGCCAAACACACCCACTAGCACACGTCCCTAACACAGGTGCCAGACCACTCACATTCGTGTTCCTGGAGCCTCCTTCCGTCTTCCTGGTGAGGGGCACGCTCTGCCCTGCCAGCCCTGCCCCTCCTTCCACATCACTCTGCTGGCACCTGTCTCATGCATGAGTCTCAGCTTCTCCTGTGTAGGAGCCACCTGTGTGGCTCCTGTCACATGATGACTGAAGCCACTTCTCACTTCACACACGTGTCAGGCACAAATCTATGTTACAGATCAGATGTGAAGGGAAGCTAAGCTAAGGATCTACTGTGAGAGAACTAAGGTTATTTGTGAAATATACACCTACTACACTTGTAAGTAAACTGCATGCCGATTCCTTAGGGAGGAGACAGGTTAAGTGTAGGAAGATTTGCGCTCTAGTCTAGTTCCCAGTGGTGCCCTTGGACAAGCTGTTTACATCGTTGTTTCCGTCTTCTCATGATGAAAATGGACTTATGGCACTCTGTATCTCATGGGGTGCTGTATTGCTACATGGCAGGAAGTATGGCACCTGGTTGCTTAGAGGCAGTCAGCTAGCTGGGCCCCCGCAGTGGCACCTCTGCGGCACTGAATGCTGCTCCTACTGCAGAGAGCACTCTTCTGGGAAAAGTGAAGCCGAGGACTACAAGTGCCCTTCTCACAAACAGCTGAAGCCCTGGCCAATACAAACATTCTAATGCTACCAGTCATTAAATGTTAAATTTAACCAGTATATAAACATTTCCACAAACCTGGGATGCAATACTACTTTCTAAATGAAAAACCTACTACCCACCCACAGGCCGGTAACCTTAGGTTATGCCAACACAATTTCTATCCTAATTCCCCAAAGGAAATCCTACCTAGAGGAAGGTGAAGAGGTGCCAAACACCCACCAAGATCTACCCAGAGAGGCCTGGGCATAGATCCGCAGCCACGCTGAGGAAATGATGTCGTCAAGAATTTGAGTCACGCACCTGTCCATTTCCAGCAGTGTGGAAGACTGCGTGCTTGCCTGCTGCAATCAATGAACAAAATTTTGCGAAATTTAAAAAGCCCAAGCAAAGGCAGGAACCCAGATGGGTTAGGGAAGCTCTGAAGCCGGCTTTTGCCCTGAGGACAGAGAAGAAAGTTCAGGGCCTGCTTCAGAGGAAGGGTCAGATAGGAGGCCCTTGTCCGTAGGGCTGGCGCCCCTCTGCATAACAGTGAGTTTGAACTAAAATATTTCACCCCCAACCCCACCCAGAGGGTTAAAAATGGCTTGTTTTGAACGTCAGTGTGAAGGAAGCCGAGGGCAATTTTACCCAATAGTTTGTAACCACATCAGTGAATTTCATTAAGTTTTGCAGCACAAATCATGCTGGTCAAAAAAAACTTTAAGCCAAGAATTTGGTTTAATATGGCCCTGAAATGCCACTGCCCCTAAGTGACCCAGGGGAAGCAAACATTCTGACCTATATTCTAGTTTAAAAACTGTCTCCCCTGAGCTGTGTCTAATCTGTTAAGCCCACAGGTTGAATTAAAAAAAATTCATTTTCATTTCTGGAAGAACCAAATAGAGGTTCTTTCCCAAATCCATTTGGGCACAATTCTGAAGAAATTACAGGAATGTAACACAGAGATAAAGAGTGGGGAAAGTGAAACAGGTTAAGACACAGAGGATACAAGTTTAAAATATGCTGTCTGGGTTATAGGAAGGCAAGAATGAGGCAGACAATGGAAATGTAACAGCTGAGGGTCTTAGCAGATCTTTACTAAAAAATTCTAAAAGATAAATTTGACTCCTACTGCATACTGTACACAAAAATTATTTCCAGATGTATCATAGAAATAAACTGTTTAAAAAGGCAACTTAAAAATGGCAAAACTTTTAATAAGCATTTCACAGAAGATGATAAATGGCCAGTAAGCATATGAAAAGATGCCTAACATCATTCCCTTGACAATAAACTAAAACCAAATGAGATAACTGTATCCAGGGGTTGGCAAAAGTAAGTTTATAGTTGTGAGTACATGAAGCACAGTTTATTCTTGTATTATTATTTATTATTATATTATTTTCCAGATGAACTGAAAACCTACTTTTGCTCACCTCTGTATACCCAACAGAAATTTAAAAAGTCTAAATTAAAAACACTGAAAATATTGTGCTGGGAAGATGTAAAGCAACTGGCTCTCTTGGATGGGGCTCGCAGGGGCCGGCTGTTTAAAAGGACTGGAAAACCTGCCAGCCTTTGGCAAGGCTAATTTAAAAAGAGGCACAAATAAACAGTATCAGGAATGAAACAGAGGAGGTCACTACAGATCCTGTAGATATTATACAGATAAGAGGATACTGCAAACAACTTTTATATTTCATCTAAATTTCCAAATTTATTAGGGTAAATTCCTAGAAAATTTCACCTTACCCACAATAACTCAATCAAAACTGACTTTAGCCTGGCTGGGCATGGTTCAGCGGTTGAGCATCAACCTGGGATCCAGGCAATCGGGGTTTGATTCCTGGTCAGGGCACATGCTCCGGTTGCAGGCTCCATCCCCAGTGGGGGACGTGCAGGAGGCAGCTGATCAATGACTCTCTCATCATTGATGTTTCTATCTCTCTCCCTCCCTCTTCTTTCTTCTCTCTGAAATCAATAAAGATAATATTTAAAACAAAACAAAAAACCTGACTTTAGAAGAACTAGGAAATCTGAATAGTTCTACAGTCCTTAAATAAATTGAACCAATGATCAGAAATCTTTCCATATAGAAAAGTTCATGTCCAGGTGGCATTCAGGAAGTTCTGGAAAATATTCAAGAAAGAAATGATTCCAGTCTTACAAAACTTTTCTAGGGGCAGAAGAAGAAGGAACACCTGAGACTTATTTCATCCGCTAGCGTGTTAGCTCAACAAGGATGAGAAGGGAAGTCTGAGGCACTCCCACTCATGAACACATGAAACACACACACACACACACCCATGCACACAGCAACAGATACACGGATGTGCACGTGTTCATATGTGCAAATACACAGATATGCACATGGTGTGTGTGCGCATGTATGTGAATACACAGATATG